CTGGTGAGCTCATATGCCCTATAGCAAAAACTTCTCCAAAAAATAATTGTGGTGTGCCAGCCTCTTCCTCTCGGGGACATAGCTGGTGGCTGTCAGAATGGGTGTTAGTATTGAGATCACTGTCGTATTTCTCAGAGGGGGACTGGCTCCTGCCCACACCCCTACCCACCTGGGCCCAGAGCAGCCAGGATGGGCCGAGAGCCCGCCTTCCACCCCCTTGCCTGCTGCAGCCCCTCCGGCTGAATGCTCTCTAGAATTTCTGCCCGTCCCTCCTCTGCTCAGAACCCTTCCTCAGCTCTCTGTGGCCTCCGAGAGAACGTCCAACTTCCTCTTGTGGCCAACAGAGCTGCCGCTGCCCTCTGGCCTCCCCCTCCCCATTTGGCCAGAGTGGACTTCTGTCCTCACCTCCGCCTTCGCGTGCTTGGTTCCCTCTGCCCAGAGATAGGCAGGGCGCCCCGCTGCGGGTCTTTTCTGGGCCATTTCCATTGCCCTTCGGATCTCAGCTTTGACTCTCTGGGATGCTCTCCCCGCACCCCTTCATTGCACTGGTTCAGGGACCCCAGACTCTGCTACAGGGTCAGGAAACCGTCTTCTGGCCCCGCCTCCCACCCCACACTCAGCCCAAGCTTGACAGAGTGAGCATTGTGTTTGTTGAAGGACTGAAGGAGCGAGCCCACAGCCCTAGGCACACCCAGACAGACACCCTGTGACTTTAAGGTTTTTGTGAGTGTGTTTGGAGGTTGGTGAGCCTAACGGGCCACAGGGCCTGATGCCCGCACCACCAATTATGACCACCAGAGGGCGAAGCAACCATCTGGTGCCAACCTGTCCTCAGCTAGTGAGAAAAGAAGCCCCGCCCATTCACTTCCACCTGTCCCCACCTCTCCAGGAGCTCCAATCAGCCTTGACCCACTCCCACCCCCATCCCAGGCCCCTCTCTGTCATCAACTAGTGTAGGGACTTGAATAAGGCCTGCCCGTGCTCTTGGCTTCATTTACCTGTGACAAGCCCAGCCTGGAGCCTGGCACACAGCAGGCGTTTGATAAATACCTGTTTGCATTAGGGAGAGGCCAAGAACCAGAGAAGGGACCTGACCGGTAGCCACAGAACACATCTGTGGCGCAGCCTGCCCTATGCATCTCCTCTCCAAACTTAAAATACTGTCACCATGGGGTCAGAGGTGGCATGGTGGTTAAGGTGCTAGGCTTTCACGTGACTGCCTGTGTTCAAGTCCCAGAACTGGCATCTTGCTTTCTCACTTTCTCTCTCTGGCTGAATTAAAAATGAATAATAATAACAAATAAAATTAAATAATTATTTTTAAAAATATATTGTCACCTCTACCTTCTGTGACTGCAAGTGGGCACAGGGCTTCTTTCTAGGTGATGAAAATGTTCCAAGCTTGATTGTAGTGATGGTTACACCCCTTGTGAAAATGTTAAAACCCAGAGCCTACTCAAGTCCTTTAAGCGGTATACGTACGGCATCTCGATAAAGCTGTTATTGTCACAAGCCAAACCAGACAGCAGCAGCTGGAGGAAGGAAGGCTCGCGGTGTCCTCATTCCCTCGTCTGTGACTTGGGACCCTGGAGCCTGGAAGGGCCGGAGGAGAGGAACCTGCCATGCCCAGGGTTGATAGCAGCACCGGCATGGCCACGGCTATAAAAACGGGTCTCTTACTCCAGAAGATAAGCAAATACTTGACCAAATAAAGAAGTGAGCGAACACATTACAATGCAAATATGGTGCAGTAAATGCAAAGAAAATGAAAACACAAAGTGAAAACTACATGGGGAAGATGCCTCTTCAGTTCATTCAGAGGGATTAATAGTATTCAGGGGCCAGCAGGTGGCGTGGAGGTTAAGGCGGATCCCACACGGCTGACTGAGTGGTCTGAGTCCTGGACCTGGAGGCTTGGAAATCACACTAGGCACGTATGTGTGCATGTCCCAAATCCCAAGGAGATTGAAGAAGAAGGGATTGTGGCATGGCCATCCCCCTCTGGCGTGTGTGTGTGATTTCTCACCTTCCCTCTCCCCATATCTATGGTGCACATGCTCTATACCAAGAACTAAACAAAAAGAAAAAAAAAATTTTTAAAAGTAATGTTAAAGTATAATTTTTGGAAACCAGCTGTTAGCATAATGGCTATGTTGCTGGATTCCCATGTAGTCAACCGCGGTTCGAGTCCCAGACCCAGTGGCTTAAACTCATGCCAGGTGCGTGTGTGTGCGTGCCCAAGATCCCGAGAGGAGAATGGAGGAGAAGGGATTGCGGCGTGCCCATCCCCCCTGGGGGGTGATTTCTCACTTTCTGTCTCTCTTGCTTTCTTTGTCTTTCTGGGGAGCGCACGCGCCCTGTAGCAAAAACCTCTCTAAAAAAAAAAAAAGTATCATTTTTGATACTAATTTGGTAAAAAACAGACAAGCCTTAAAATCATAAAACAGTGCTGGCACAGATGTAGTGAAATCAATATACTCAGGTACTGTTACACAGTATAATAGCATGGTCCTCCTGGAAATCAATAGAGTAACCTATTAAGAGCACCAAACATGTTCAAATCTTTGCCCCAGTTATTGGGTTATTGGAAAAGTCATGACATATTGTCTATGCAAAAATGCATCATGACTTTTCTGACAAACCAACAACTCTATTATATATAAAATACTTTGCATATGAAGATATTTATCAATTATTTGTAATATTGCAAAAACTAGAAGCTACCTAAATGTCCAATAAAGACATTGTGAATTATCCACTTGAAGAAATACTAACCACTAAACAAAGAATAATAGGGGCTGGCAGATGGCATGGTGGTTGAGGCACTGGACTCCTACATGGCCAACCACGGTTCAAATCCTGGATCTGGCAGCTTGCTTTCTCACTTTCTCCCTCTCTCTCTCTCATCAAATTAAAAAGTAACAATAATAATAAATAAAAATTTAAGAAATAATAAAAACAACAGCAATAAGGAAACTGCAGATGGCATAACAATAAAAGAAAAAAGTAGGAAACAAAATCGTGTGTGGCATAATTGCAACTATGTACAAGTCTGTGTGCTCTGTGGCCGATACCATTAGTGACCGGCTCAGCATTTATTTTCACCTCTCTCAGTGCACTGTTCTCTCTCGCTTTCTCAGCCTCTCTGCAGTTATAGGTAGTCATGTTACTACTGAGATGTAAACCAAAGTCTTCTGAGAGAATCTTGCAAAATGTTTGCTTTTCTGGTAAAAGAGCTTGTGGGACCAGCAGTTAGCGTAATGGCTATGTCGCTGGACTCCCATGTAGTCAACTGTGGTTCAAGTCCTGGACCCAGAGGCTTAAACTCACGCCGGGCACGCCGGGCACGTATGCGCGTATGCTCAAGATCTGAGAGGAGAATGGAGGAGAAGGGATTGCAGCGTGGCCATCTTCCCTGGGGGGCGGGGGAGTGATTTCTTGCTTTCCGTCTCTGTCTTTCTCTTTCTGACGAGTGCATGCGTCCTATAGGGAAAAAAAGAGCTTGTCATAGCTTTTACTATCTCTTCCCCCTATCTTCCTTCTGCCTTGAATGCATGTAAGATGCCTGGAGCTGCAGTAGCCTTCCTGTGGCCATGAGGCATCAAGCATGTCAAAAAGCAACCTATCAGTACATTGAGCTCCATAGAGATAGCACCGGAGCAAGTGAGAGCCGGAGGGGCACTGGGCCACTGCCTCAGTGGAGGAAAAAAATCACTAAACTTGGGCAAAGGAGATCCTAAGAAGCTGAGAGGCAAAAGGTCATCATACGGATTCTTTGTGTAAACTGGCCAGGAGGTGCACAGAAGAAGCACCCAGATGCTTCAGTCAACTTCTCAGGGTTTTCTAAGTGCTCAGAGAGGTGGAAGACCATGTCTGCTAAAGAGAAAGGAAAGTTTGGAAACCAGCAGTTAGCATAATGGTTATGTCGCTGGACTCCCATGTAGTCGACCGCAGTTCGTGTCCCGGACCCGGTGGCTTAAAACTCACGCCGGGCGTGTGTGCGTGCGTGCCCAAGATCCCGAGAAGAGAATGGAGGAGAAGGGATTGCGGCGTGACCATCCCCCCTGGGGGGTGATTTCTCGCTTTCTGTCTCTATGTGTCTCTCTTGTCTGTCTGGTGAGCGCATGTGCCCTATAGCAAAAAAAATCTCTCAAAAAAAAAAAAAAAGAGAAAGGAAAGTTTGAAGACATGGCAAAGGTGGACAAGGCCCGTTATGAAAGAGAAATGTAAACCTATATCCTTCCTAAAAGGGAAACAGAAAAGAAGTTTGAGGACCCCAGTGCACCGAGGAGACCCCCTTCGGCCTTTTTCTTGTTCTGTTCTGAATATTGCCCCAAAAGCAAAGGGGAGCAGCCTGGCCTCTCCCTTGGTGATGTCACAGAGAAACTGGAGAGTGTGGAAACGGCTGCAGGTGCTGGGCAGCCTGCGGAGAGACAGCTGCTAAGCTGAAGGAGAGAGAATATGGAAAGGTGTTGCTGCGTCCCGAGCCGAGCCAAGGGAAGCCTGGTGCAGCAAAAAGGGACTTGTCAAGGCCAGGCAGAGCAAGGAAGAGACAGAGGAGGACGACGACAGGGTGAAGACGAGGAAGATGGTGAATAAGTTGGTTCTAGTGCAGTTTTGTTTTTAAATAAGAATCATTTTATTTATCTTTATTTATTTATTTTAATGTGACTAGAGTGGGACAGAGTGGGAGAGGGAGTGAGTGACGGAAAGTGAGAAAGCAAGCTGCTGGATCCGGGACTCGAGCTGCAGTCAGCCATGTGGGAGTCCAGTGCCCTTAACCACCACGCCACCTGCCAGGCCCTGGTTCTAGTACAGGTTTTTCCCTGTCTATAAAGCATTTAACCTCCCTATACACGATTTCTCCTTTTACAGAATAAAACTGAAATGTAAGGCTGTGTAGCTTGTCTTCGAACCGTACAGTGACTCTTCTTGTCTAGTTAATGCACTACGAGTGTGTGCTGAGATGGCCCTGTCCTGGTGGCATTAGCCACCCACCTCGCCTGGTACGTACGGGGCTGTAAGCTGGCACAGAAGTTTAAAGCAGCTTCCGGTGCACGGCCCAGATTGGTCGTATATGGGGCTGGTAGTTCCTTATCTTCCATTGTCTCTGGTGCAGCTTCTATGAAATAATTGTTCTGTTAACTGACAACCACTCTGTAATTGAAAAAAAGTTGCAGCTGTTTTGTTGATATTCTGAATGCTTCTAAGTATTAATAAAAACATTTAAAAAATGGAAACCAAACTTTCTGTGCAGGTAGCAGGCCCGCGAGCATGGCGAGTGTCCCTAAAACCCGCCGGACCTTCTGTGAGAAGCGGGGCAAGCACGAACCTCACAAAGGGACACAGCACAGGACGGGCAAGGATTCTCCGTGTGCTCCGTGTGCTCAGGGACAGCGGCGTTCTGACAGGGAGCAGAGTGGCCGTGGCGGACAGACTAAGCCTGTTTTCTGGAAAAAGGCAAAAACGACAAAGAAGCTAGTGCTGAGGCCTGAACGTGTGGAGCCCAGTGCAGGTCTGAGAGGACGCTGGCCAGTAAGAGATGTGAGCATTGTGAACTGGGAGGGGAGAAGGGGAGGAAGGGCCCAGGACCCGGTTCTAGGCCTCGTCTTTTCTATTATGAAGACGACAAAATCTTGAGGTGAATGTTCACCTCATTTGATTACAGTTGGTCTTTTTGTGAGAGAATAAAATAATCAATAAAATCCCCCTTTGGGGAAATTTGAAAAAGAAAAGATGCATGAAAAGAGGAACAGCAAACAAAGAATGATGCAAAGACGCCCCAAGGAGCAGCACCTGCTGGACAGAGAAGGACAGTCCTGAGCTCAAGTACTCTCCAACATGGTTAAGCAAAACTGAAAAGAGAAAAAATCTGGAGGTGAATGTTCACCTCATTTGATTACAGTTGGTCTATTTGTGAGGGAATAAAGCAATCAATAAAATTCCCCTTTTTGGGGAAAAAAAAGTAAAACAAAAAGCAACCCATCAAGGGTGGTCTAAGAAGATTGAAAAATGTTGGGTCAGACCAGCACATGGCCTGGGCGTTAAAACAGCTGCTTGTTGGGACCAGCAGGTGGCGTGGTGGTTAAAATGCTGGACACTCCCACATGGCTCAACCACGGTTAGAGTCCCGGGCCTGGTGGCTTGCTTTCTCACTTTTCCTCTTTCTCTCTCTACCTAGCTCTCTCTCTCTCTGGTCAAATTAAAAAAGAAGAAGGAGAAGGAGAAGAAGAAGGAGGAGGAGGAGAAGAGGGAGGAGGGAGGAAGGGGAGGAAGAAGAAGCAAAGAAGAAAAAAGACAGCTGCTCACATGGCTGACCATGAAGGTCAAGTCCCAGACCTGAGGTTTGAAAACCATGCCAGGGGGCCGGCAGGTGGCATGGTGGTTAAGGGCTCTGGACTCCCACATGGCTGACTGCACTTCGAGTCCCAGACCTGGCAGCTTGCTTTCTCACTTTCTCTCTCTCTCTCTCTGGTCAACCAATAAATAAGTAAATAAATAAATAAAGTTAAAATACGATAATTCTTTGAAAAAAATAAAAATAAAAACATGCCGGGCATATGTGCATGTGTGCCCAAAGTCCTGAAAGGAGGGAGGAGTGGAGTGAAAGGGATTGCAGCGTGACCGTGCCCCATGGGGAATGCTTCCTCCAATTTCCTTCTCTTGCTCTCTGTCCCTCCAGTGACTGTTGGTACCTCCAGCAAATTAAAGAAAAAAAAGAAGAGAGACATGAGGCCTATGACATCACCGAGTTCCACGGTATGTGACCACCTACTGCAGGACCTTTTGGCATGGGGGAGTCAGCCTCCACTTACCTAACGCCCTGCTGCCGTTGCCTGGAGCCAGACTTCCAAATGCAGCGGGGGGACTGGACAAAGGGGGCTTCGAATCCCATGTCTCCCAATCTTGCTGTCGGTTCTGGCAAGCCACCTCCTCTTTGTGAATCTCTATTTCCCACCTTTGTTTTTTTATTTCTAAAATTTTGCCAGAGGGTCCATGTGCTCGCTGGAGAGAGAGAAACAGAGAAAGAGGAAGTGAGAACGGACAGGCACGCCACAGTCCCGTCTCCACTTCTCCTCTTGGAACTCGGCCCGCAGGTACACGGGCCCAGTGTGCTCCTCCATCTACCAGGCCCCGGGCTCTACATGTGCGGTTGGCCGTGGGATCCAGCGCCTTAACCACCACGCCACCTACTGGCCATGGTTCCCTTGGCTTTGAGATGGAGCGTCATGATACTCCATCTTAGACGTTAAAAAATAAAGTTTATTTATTTGTTTCATGAGAGACAGAGATAGAGGGAGGGGGGAGAGAGACGCCCTGAACAGTGCCTCACACCTGACCCTCCGTGCAGCCGCCCCGGACAGCCAGGGTCAAGGGCTCAGTGAGCCTGGATCATACGGGTCTACCTGGGAATCGACCCCAGTTTTCCACGTGGCTCCTGGCGTGCCAGAACACCGTACTACTACTGTGCCTCTGCGTGCTGCGCTGAGCCCTCTTGGACTTGTTTTCTTTTCTTAATTAATGAATAAATTTTAAAATTTATTATTATTTTATTTTAGAGAGATTTTGCCATTGGGCACATGTGCTAGCCAGAGACGCACACAGAGAGAGAAAAAGTGAGAAATCAGCCCTCGCGGGGACGGCCATAACTGCAATCCCCTCTCTTCCATTCTCCTCCTGGGATTTTGGGCACTCATGCACATGTGCCTGGAGTGCGTTTCAAGCCACCAGGTCTGGGACTCAGACTGTGGCTGTCCACGTGTGATTCCAGCACCTCAATCACTCCCACCTGCGGCCCCCATTGTTATTTTTCTTTTTAAGTTTGTATAGGGCACTTGTGCTCACCAGAGAGAGAGAGAGAGAGAGAGAGAGAGAACAAGCAAGCCACCAGGTCCGAGACTTGAACCACAGTGGGCCATGCGGGCGCCCAGTGCCTCAGCCTCCGTCACTGCAGGCCCTCTTGGACTTCCTAAAGGTGGAAAGGCATGAGAGTTGGGGATGTGCTTTGTGAGCAGCGCGGTGGTCCCCAGGTCTGCTCTCCACGGAGCGCCAGCTACAGCAGGCCAGGGATTCGCTCGGTGTGCGCGGAGGGAGCTGGGCGTGCTTTCTCGCTGTCTTCGGCCCCAAGGCTGCCCTGGTCTCTCCGTCCGTCCGGGCCGCACCTGGCAGCCGGAGGCCGGGCGAGGCTGGCGGTAGGTGGAGCTCGCAGCCCACGCAGACGCCGGGGGGCGCCTCACCTGGCCCTGGCAGGCGGCGGGCACTGGGGAGGCGCCCAGACGCGCCGTGACTCGTGACTCGCGGTACAAATAATCAGGGAAGGACAGCTGCTTCCTCGTCAGCAGCCCAGAGGGAAATAAAGCTCACGTCCCCTGCAGCGAAAACCTGCTCTCTGGGTCCCCTGGCTCCTGCCACCAACTGCTCCACGTCGGCTGCCAATCCAATTTGAAGGCCCGCAGCCCCCAGAGAGGGCTTGTTTTAACTTCATCAGGCGGAAGGAAGGCGAGGGGCGGCGCCGCGGGTTGGGGTCCAGGCTGCCGAGGGGTCCTGGGGCGTCCCCGCTTCCAGTGTCTGGCCTTCGGGTCCCCTCCTCCTACTGGGGTTCAGCAATTGACCAAGTCATAGAACCAAGGCTTGGCGAGCACCGTTCGGTGCTCCCTGACATGGACGGGCAGAGGCAGGGCTCCTCCCGCTCAGCCTCCTTCCCCGCGCTTGGCCACACGCCCTCCTCCTGGGCACTTCCGGGCTGGAGGCCCCACCTGCCACCCTTTCACGTCCCCATACCTCGGCGTGCCCTGCCTTTCCTCTGCCTGCAGATGCCTGCAAAGTCTAGAGGGTTCTGAGTCATGCTTTGAGGTCGGCCTGGTCTCGCGACCACTTCCCC